TCTTCTGCTCTCTATACGTGCACTTGATTCTGTGGTTGCCTTTAAGAGCAAACTTAAAACTTTCCTTTTTTATAAAGACTTTTAACAACTTCACTGTGTTGTCTGTTTCTTAGTTATTGTTTTATGATGTTGCTGATGTTTTTATTCTTATTTTTCTGTATAATTTTTGCACCTTTGTAAAGCACTTTGTGACCCTGTCTGAGAAAGGTGCTTTATAAATAAACTTTTACTGACTGACTGACTTACTTACTTACTGACTGACTTACTTACTTTCTGGCAATGTCCAAGAACTTATACTAGCTTTGACCTCTGAATAATCTGTGCAGCTGCAGTTACAGGAGCATCAATCAGGCTGCTTGAAGACAGTCTTTTTCTGGAAAACCAAAATTCAAAAGTGGTTCCTGATTTTTATTAGTTGATTTAAAGTTGTTGTTTTTTTTAACTTTTGATTTAATAGTGACCTTTTGTAGGTTTTCCTTTCTTTAACAAAATGGTTAAACTAACTTTTAGTTGGTCCTGCCATCTACACTTTGATGGTGCCAAAACCTTCAACTATAGCAGCAGGTTGTTTCCAATAAGCCAAGTAATTAAAAACATACTGTATTAGAACACCAATCTTTGTAACAATATAACCTTGGTTTACCATTGATTTTAAACCTATTTTCAGCTGCTGATTTCATCTCATGTAAAAAATATGACAAACTCAAAATTTTTTGAAGTTCTGAAGAGCGACAGTACAGGTGTTGTCCAACATACCTCACTGTCCACCACCCCATTCTTGTCGCGGTGCGGCGCCTCATAGGCTTCCATCTGCTGGCGGGAAACTTTGACAAGCCTCTCTGCCAGCTCCCTCCACCGCCCTGCTAGCTCCACAGCAGTGGTCAGCAGGACAAAGTCCATGACCAGTCTGGCCACGAGACCCTGACAGTCCATCTTCAACAAAGCCTGTAGAGAACAGGACACATGAGTCATTCAGTGAAATACAGAACAGAGTCTGATGGGATAAAGAATCATTTCTGGCTTTTGAACAAAAACGGAACCTGAAAAAAAATCAATTGGAGCAGCAAATTAAATACAAACTGAAGTATTCACAAGAATGTCATGATAAAACTTGTTTTATACAAAGTAATTAATACATCAGCAGGTTTCATTCCATTCACTTGATCCTACCATTTCCCACAGCCTGCCTTCTAAATCCCCCACAAATCTAATCTTTGTGAAACATTCAGATGCTTTCTGCTGGAAAGAAAGCTGAAATCTGCCAACAGCAGATTTTTGTTCCATCTGAGCTAAGGAGAGGGAAACTTTGAATCAAACCTGGTAACTGAAGAGATTCAGAATGAGCAATAATCCAACAACTTTATTTCTCTTGACAAAGGTTTAGAACTCTGAACATCTTTTCCATCCTCATGCCCTGGGCTGCCTTAATGCACAGGCTTACTTGGATTGAAGCCCAGGGGCCTACAGCGTTGGGGGGGCTATCGTTTTGAGGTCACATGATGAGCTGAAAAAGTTACATAGTGTTTTAACTTCAAAGTCTTTCTGTCACTTATTGCAAATGCATATTTGTAACCGCTGATTGATCCAAACGAATAGTAACTCACGTGGGCTCACATGGTCTGACCAATCAGAATGTGGATTGTTAGTTTTGGGGCGTGTCTCTCGATGATTGGCTAACAGCGGCCAACATGTCAGGTCGGGGTAGAAGTTTGTGTATATGTCAGAACAAGTTTGAAAAAAAGAATATTGAGCTAGCAGAAAATTTTGAACCAGCTTACTGGAAACATGAATCTGTCGAAGGATGTTTGCTGCTTCAGAACGTCCTGAGAGGAGGACAAAGAAGTAGACATTTTGGGGACCTACGCAGGATATGTATCCTGTATCCATTCACCATTAGTAGACAGAAAGATACACAAAACCAAATTCTGTATGCAATTATAAACCTTGTGCATAAAATTTTACCAGTATGAACATATACTGCTAACTGGGAACACTTACTGGGTGTGTGTGGCTGGGTAAATGAGGACACAAATTGTGTAGTTAAGCAATTTGAGTAGTACGGTTGGTTAGGAAGGTGCTGTGTAAGTAGTCCATGTATCAAATATTGGTCTGAATGGTGCTCAGTGTTGAAACTTGTATGAGATTAACTTTGCGTGATCACCACTGGAAGAAAAACAAAGTGAATTTAAAAAGGTTGCAGTTTGTTTAGGTCTTAACAGATCTGAACGGGAGAACAGCCCCTCCTGCCATCCCCTGCGACCTCCCTGTCTACGTCGATTTAGCCCAAATGACGGCTGTTGGTGGGAAAAGTCAAAACACTGTGGAAACTATGGCTGCTCCTGCAGCCGAGGCAACCTGCAGCATGTCATGGTGGATTTGCAAATACAAAACTGTCACATGCAAATATGAGTGCATTTATGCAACACACATCTGTGTCTGTGAGTCATAAGAATCATGAGTTGCAGAGTTCTACATTACCAAACAGAAACAGTTTATTTAAGATCTGTAATTTCTTAAACGGATGAATATTCTTGTTCTGAGAAAAATAAATTTAAACTTGTTTAAATCAAACCTTGTAAATGATGTTATGCATGATGATATACACTCACCGGCCACTTAATAAGGTACACCTGTCCAACTGCTCGTTAACACTTAATTTCTAATCAGCCAATCACATGGTGGCAACTCAGTGCATTTAGGCATGTAGACATGGTCAAGACAATCTCCTGTAGTTCAAACCGAGCATCAGTATGGGGAAGAAAGGTGATTTGAGTGCCTTTGAACGTGGATCTACTGGGATTTTCACACACAACCATCTCTAGGG